TCAAAACTCACACTTATAAGAAATAGACTACCAGAGCAGTTAAAGAAATTGATTCAATAACTAATAACTTCCCTTTGAAAAGCTCTAAGTCCATAAAGTTTTGGTGGGAATTCTATCAAACATTTAAAATAGAAATATAGCACTTCACTATGACCTGTCCTATTAAACAGAGTGGAGAGGACAATTGATTTCTAAGTCATTCACAAGCCAGAAATTCACCAAGTCTAAAACTAGACACGGATATTATAGGGCAGAAAAACCATAGACCAATACTTTTCATGACTACGTCTGCAGAAACCTTCAACACAGTGTTAGCAAGTAGAACCCAACAATATATGCATGGACTGAATTATACACTATCGCCCAGTGGGGATTGCAAATTGAGCATCCAAGACTATTTAAACATTGAAAATCAATCAACATAATGTATCGCATCTACTGGTCAAAGGAGAAAAATCAATGATCATATCAATAGATGCAGAAAATGAATTTGAAAAAATCCAAAATTCATTTAAAAACTTCTCAGCAAAAGGAATAAAAGGAGCTTCTTCAACTTGAGAAAGAGCATCTATAGAAAACTAATAACTAACATTATACTTGAATGCCGAGAAACAATATTTTTGTTCTAAGATAGAAAAACATCAAAGAGTATCCCCTCCCAACACTACTATTCAACATCCTACTGAAAACCATAGCTGATGGAACAAATTAAGAAAATAAAATTAAAAAGTACAGATTAGGAAGGAAGAAATAAAACTACTTCTGTTTGCAGATGACATGATTGTGTGTGTGGAAAACTCCAAAGAATCTGTAACAGAGCTGAGACCTTCCTGGAAACTGAGGCTACCTGAAGACCCCCTCTTCAAACCCTAATTCTTACAATCAAATCAGAAAAATTTGTCACAATAACAGGAATGAGTTTATTGAAAGGACAGGAAAAGGGAAGGGGGACACTCTCAAGGGAGAGTCCTCTCAGAGAGGATAGGGACAATGTGACTCTCGAGCACTCTAGTTTCATTGGGGATCCCAGAGAAACTTCCAGATAGTCCCACCCAGGTCCACTTCCTGTTTTTGACTGACAGCAAATGACATCATACTTTTTAAGTACCCATCGCCATAGCAACTCTAGGTCTGCTTGGCCCATACTGACCGGTTCTAATTAACTTCTTTTTTTTAAATATTTTTTTAGATGTTGATGGGCTTTTATTTTATTCATTTATTTATATGTGGTGCTGAGAATCGAACCCAGGGCCTCACATATGCTAGGCAAGTGCTCCACCACTGAGGCACAACTCCAGCCCTCTAATTAACTTCTTAACCACAAGTTCTTATAGATTTTATGGTTAGGAAAATTATTCTTATCTCTCTGAGTTTTGGAATCAGGTCACAAAAGTTTCCTTGGTTCCCCAGGAGAACATTGTCTTGGGCTTGTATTTCTCCTGCAGTTAACACATAGTTTATTGAGGGATGTAACATATCCTGTCCACCTAGGCCAGGCAGGGTTGCAAGTAAATTTCTTCTTGGAAAGAAAGCATGTGAGGATCAGCAAAGAGGATCCATTTCATAGAATTATTCTGATAACCTCATTTTACCACCATTCACATCTGTCTGTTCCCTAACAAATTGACAAAAACAAATAAAAAACACCCATAACTAATAAGTGACTGTAAGCCAAGTTGCAGGATGCAAAGTTATCATGAAAAAGTCAATCACATTTCTACAAATCATCAATAAGTAATTGGAGGCTGAAATGAAACACACATTCCATTTACAGTAGCACCCAAAACCATGAAATACATAGGTATGGATCTAACAAAATACATACAAGATGTACTTGAGGAAAACTGAAAAACTCAGAAGGAATAATATTATCTAAACAAAGGAGACATATTTCATGTTAATGGATGGAAAGATTCAATATTGTGAAGATGTTAATTCCTACCAACTCCATTAATTGCAAACAAAATCTCATGAAGTTATTTTGCACGTACTGGCAACCTAATTCTAAAGTTTATGTGGAAATGCGTGTGTCCCAGAATAGCCATCTCAATATCAATGAAGAACAAGTCAGAAGATTGACACTACCTGGTTTTAAGAACTGCTGTAAAGCTACAGCGATGAAGACAACTGGTGTTAGTGAATGACCAATGGGGGAGAGCAGAGAGCCCCCAAAAGACCCATAGAGCCATATAAATATCATTGACTGATTTTTGGCAAAGGAGCAATGTGAACATAAAACTATAAAAGATCTAGGTGCTAAATGGGAGAAAACTTAGATGCCCCTAAGTCTAGTAATTACTTTTTAGATAATACTACAAGCATGATCCAGAAAATAACAGGTTGATTGGTTGACTCCACTGCTGTGACAGCTGAACCTGAGGTACCAGTGAAGAGTGATGGGGGATTAAGAAAAACATACACACAGATATGAAGATTAAAGGCTGGGATCAGGTGGGACACTGCTCTCTGATGGAGAAATAATGAAGAGTTGGCCCAGCAAGTTTATTTATATAGGGTCTCAGAATCAAGAAGTAAAGGACTACAGGGGCATTCTTCTTAGTGCACTAGAAAGTTACAGAGCTAGAAACATTTTTCTAGCTATTTTACTGTTGCAATGCTTGGAGCGCCCTGCAGCACTCAGGAAGCCCACTGTCTAAAGTTACTGTTAAGTGGGCAGGCTCAGAAGTAGCAGCACTAGTGAAACATTGTAGTTGTCTTGTTATGCTCAGAATTTCTCTCTCCCAGGGAGCTATGTGCCTGAGATCAAGGTGGAGATTGATAAGATTCTTGCCACAGAACCTCTTGTGGCAGGGTGCACCAGAGCAACCAGTCATTCTGTGCCCTTGCACAGAAACATTCCATGGCAGCAGGTGCGCCACAGCCATGAAGCAATCAGGGAACTGCAGTCTCAGTCATTGATTCCAAACCCCATGAAAATTTCAAAAATCTCTATGAAAGACTGTCAAGAGAATGAAAAGACAAGCTGCAGATCAAAAACACTTGCAAACCATACATATGACAAAATGATTTTATTTCTAATACAAAAATAACTCTTAAAATTCAATCATAGGACTATAAAAGGTGAGTGAAAAAGTTGAACAGACACCTTGCCCAAGAAGACATGCTTATGGCAAATAAGCATATTAAAAGAAGCCTGGAATCATGTTATGAGAGAATTGCAAACTATGAGTCTTACAGGAACACATCACTACATACCTATTAAAATGTCCCAAATCTGAAACACTGACAACATTAAATGCTGGTAAGGATGTGGAGCAATTGCTGGAGAGAATATAAAATGAAAGATATTTTTGAAGACAGCCTGGCAGATTTTTAAAAAATAAACTTAAATGTAGTTTCACTACACAGTCTAGTAATTGTGTTCCTTAATAATTACCTAGCAGGTTTGAAGAACTAGGTCCACACAAAAGCCTGCGTACAAAAGTTTATAGCAGTTTTATTCATAACTGCAAACACTTGGAAGCATCAAAGATGTCTTTATTTAGATAAGTGGATAAACTGTGGTATATCCATACTCTGGAATGTATTATTCAGAGATTTTTTTTAAATGAGATATCAAGCTGTGGAAAGATATGGAAAATGATTATTCACATGTCTGTTTTAAGGAAGCCAGTATGAAAAGGCAACATACTGAGTGATTCCAACTGTTCAACTAAATAACATTCAGCCAAAGGAAAATATATGGGAGGGTGAATTGGTAGAGCACAGAGGATTTTTAGGGATGTGAAATAATTTTGGATGATTACTATAATGTCCCTAAGGCCCCATTGATTCTGAGACCCTATATAAATAACATTAATGAATGTTACATTATTGTATTGGTGGAAGTCATGCTCCACCCCATTTTGCATTTGAAAAAACCCAAAGAACTATACAAAACGAAGAGTGAAAGGTAATATAAGCTATGAACTTCACTAATCATACAAAAGTCCTATTCTATACAAGATGTTAATAGTAGGGGAACCTGAGTGTAGGCTGATGAGAGTGAGTATGTGGGGACTTTGTGCTTTCTGCTTGATTTTTCTGTGTGTGGAAAGCTGCTCTAAAAAAAGCTTATTAATTAAAAAAACTGTTATTGTATCACGTGTCCCTAAGGTTTTTTTTTTTTTTTTTTAAATGTCATAATGCACACGTTAAGTTTCAAGGAAGATTTCCTCATGGAAATGCAAGGTTGAGAAAATGATCACTTTCTTATTTTGGGTTGCATGTGCTTTCATGCATGACTGGGTAAGTTTGATCAGCTAGCTTCCCTCCGCCCACCTCCCAGATAAACACTGCTAGTAGGTGTACTATCTCATAGTTCTCTTTACAAGATATATTTGTATGTACCTTTATTTCTCTTGGCAGGTCTTCTCACTTCCCTACCCCCAATTTTCCCCTCTCCAGGTCTTTTCCTAGGTACGTCATAAAGAGTCAAATACCGAGAAGAGTTGAAAATGGTAAAAGGGCATTGCACATACAGATTTAACAATTCTGAATCTTTAACAAGTTAACAATTAACATGCAGCATTTAACAATTCTGCCGTAATTGCTTTCTGTTTCGCTGCATCATTTTAAAGTAGTACCTTAATCTTGCAACACACACCTGTACACTTTCTCAGTATCATCACACCAAGGAACGGTAATCTTTCTTAGTACTTTTAATGTCCAGCCATATTCATGCCCCCGGCTGTTAACATCTGTTTGCAGCTGTTTTTTCCTCCCAAAGAGCATCCAATCGGGAACCACGCATTGCCGCTGGTTAGGCCCATATTCCCTGGGGCGTCGGGAAACACCCGGGCTGCAAACCTCAGGCCAAACTCTGCCTCGGTCTAAGGAAGCGGAGCGAAATCGCGCCCGGGGCGCAGAGGCTCACGGGAAGTGTAGTTTCTGACGCCACGGGCCTCCCGCGCTGCACTCTGGGAACGGCGGTCGGAGCCCCGTCTGCACACGCGCAGGCCCCGCCCTGCACGGGATGCGCCTCCGCCGCTGGGCTTCTGTGCGAGAGCGGACGCTGTGCCCCCGGGTGAGAGCGCCGGCCACGGCTCCGCGCGGCGTGGGGCCCTCGGGACAGGTGGGCGTGTGCGGGGGACCGAGCGCGCAGGTCCCCGCGCGGCCCGGGGTCTGCGGTGCGGAGAGGGGGATGCGCGGTGGTAGCCTTGGTGACCGGCGGGAGGCGGTGACCGCCAGCTCCACCCCCCTTAGCTGCCTGTAGGACTTTTTGTCCAATGCGGGTCCCCAGCACCGAGCAAGTGTAGTCCTGAGCAGGAGACGCTTGTTTTCTTGGTTTGGCATTTCATTGCACCTTCGGGATGTGTTCATTAAACGTGCGATTTTAAAACCTGGAAGGTATTCATGGGGGTGGGTGCCCCTGGACACATTAAGTAGGTGAGAGAGGACCCACCCCTCCAACACAGGTTTACCCCCGGTCACTGGCTCTTCTTTACATCCTACCTGCCTGAAACCTTCAGGGGACTTAGGTGGAGCGGCTGTTCCCAAGTCTCCAAGGATGATGACTGTGATAGATGGTGGACAGAATCTCACCATGTGCGAAACAGATCCTGGGATTTGTGGGATCTCCACAGAGCGCTTAGGTCAGAAGGATCTCAGCTCCTGAACCTCTCTGCACGTTTCAGGCTATCTCTGCCCTCAAAGGCACAGATCCATGTTGCCGTGCAGTGCTGTCCAGTAGAAAGATAATGCAAAACATGCATGTAATTTGGAAGTTTTCAGTGACTACAGGAAAAAAACAAGTCATCAGACAAAGCCAATTTCACTGATGTATTTCATTTAACTCAGTACATCCAATATATTATTTTGGCTTGGGACATGAGCCAAATTTAAGTTGTTCAGTAATTGCATGTGGTTAAGGCTACAATAAAGGATAGCATACTTCTAATGAATTCCAGAAGAATCAGGTTTAGTTCGTATACTTTATTGGTGAGGGTTCAAATTTGCTCCTCAGGGTCTGGTCTTGGAACCATGGAGCAAAGCAGCTTTTATAAGCAGGGAAGAGGGAGTCCTAGTGACTACTGCCACTAACAAGAGCTTGTTTGATCGAGATTCCTCCCAGAGCTTCAAACACAGAAGATTCTAGAAAGAAGAAGGTACTGCTTTGCTCTGTTAGAGGCGGTTCTTGATTCCATTACACAGCATGAGTCAGACTTGGTGAAGCCACCACTTCCAGTGGCATCACAGGCTTTGTGATCATGGATGCTGTGAACTAATTTTCATCTTGGTGTTGAAAGGAATGGATGGCCACCAGGCTGCAAAGCAAAAGGCACTTCCTGGAGGGCTGGTGAGGGCTTGATATCTGGGGAAGGCAACCAACTGTCAAAATCTTCAACATCCCATTTCCTTCATTCTCCCCTCAGCCTTTCCAGATCCTGAGCTGTCTCATACCATGCCTGTCACCTCATGTGGCATGTAGGGTTATGTGATGCTCCCTCTTTCCTGAACATAGAGAATAACAAAATGATAGTAGAGGAAGTTTTCTATATTGGAAGCTCAAAAATACTGAGTCTTAAAGTTATCCAGGGCAGAACCAGGAGCCAAGCAGAGTGCTGTTCACTTACACAGATGAGTGCCATAGCAACTTATCAAAAGGTCTTTCTTTAAAAAATCAACAACCAATTTAGAATTGAAAGTTTAAAAATATGTTGCATAAAACATCCCGTCTTTATTTTGGAGTTTTCTGTGTGTATTCAAACTTTGGAAAGACAGTAAGAATTTAATAAGCCAGCCCGTATAGTTTTTGTGACACTAGTTTTAATGAAGGTAGAGTTTCATTTCTTATGTGGTTGAGCTTTGTTAGCCAATCCTGTTATTTTATTTTAACTTTTTTTGATACATCAACAAAAAACGATTTTTACCTTGGTGATATGTAATCATATCAAGATGCATGGGTTCAGTTCTTGCTACCTTTATGTAGTCTTTCTTGTCCCTTTTAAGAGTTAAAGGGGTATTCCTCTTCAGGAACCTTTTTATACAGCTGATATGATGAGATTTTTACAGTTTTAAGGCAAACTAGGTCTCTGATGACCCCCGTTTCTCTTATCCCCAGCTGAATCTTCAGTTTCCTCTACTCTTCCAGGAACTGCAGAAAATGAACACATATCCGGTGAGTTTGGTTTGTAATAACCAGTTTGTTTTACAGTTGATTTTATAAAGGTTTCTGTGTCTGTACATTAACGTGGAAAAAGTAGACTTTCATAGAAGGTACGGAAATATTGATCAACAGTAGAGTCAAAAGTAGACACAGGTCCTTAAATATCGTAAATTTACCAAGCCAAGTTACAGTTTATTTCTGAGGTGTTTTTTTTTTTTTTTTTTTGGTGGGGGCCTTCCGGCAATAGCCAGAAAACCTGCTAGACAAATTCTAAAAGAGCTGCAATACTTCTCTGAGGTTTCTGATAGTCATGGCAGAGTGTCAGACAGATAATACTTAAAGATTTACATTGATGAGAAATCTAAAGCAGACTGCTTCCTTGTGGAAGGTTCAAGTTGGTGATTTAGTTAACAACTTGCTAAAAACATAGAAGATTGCCTGTGATCTCAGAGCCCTGTGGGTTGTAATCACATTCAGTGGCCGTCCTCCTTTCCTTACTTAACTTTTCTGCAGCACTTGCCTCTACTTCTCACTCTGTCCTGGAAAGTTTCTCTCCACTGTCCTGTCCTTTCCTTGCCCGTGCTTCAGGGAGTCGTTGTCTCTTGTCCTTTCACGTGGCTCATCTCTGTACTCCATCCTTGACCCTTTGGTCTTCTTTGTGGTCTCTGATGACTTCATCCTCTCTTATTTTTCAGCTTTGTTGAGATTTAGTTCATGTATTATACTGCTCACCCAATTAAATGCAGAATTCAGGAATTTTTCACTGTGTTCTCAGGTTCAGTTTTAGAACGTTTTTATTGCCTTCAAACCCCTAACTCTCACTGTGTTCTTTCCAAGTCCCCAGCAACCTTAATCTACTTTCTGTCTGGACCACACCCTTTTTATTTCTCATAGGGCAGTTTTGCCTATGATGAATTCTCTTAGTTTTTGTTTCTCTGGGGAGGTTTTGGTTGCCTGTCAATGATTCTTGGTTGACAGTTTTTTTCTTTGAGTACTTTGAATATGTCATCCTATTAACTTCTGTCTTCATGGTTTCTCATTAGAAATCAGCTTTAATATGACTAGTCATTTCTCTCTTTCTGACTTTAGAATTATCTCTTTGTTACTGCCTATAGTGACCTAGGCAGGTAATCCCAGCTACTCAGGAGGCTGAGGCAGGTTCAGTGCCAACCTGGGCAACTTAGTGAGAATTTATTTCAAAATAAAAATAAACAGGGTTGGGGATGGGCATGCTCAGTGGTAGAATGTCCCTGGTTCAGTCCCCAGTACCACAAAAAAAAAAAAAAAAAAAAAAAGATCTTCTGTCTTTGGCTTTTTAACACTTTGATTATCAAGGGTCCAGCTGTGGCCTCTTACTCCAAGTTTATCCTATTTGAAGTTTTTTGAGCTGCTTCAGGGTATAGAATAATCATTTTAATGAATTTTGGGACTTCATTGCTATTGTTTTTTTAAATTTCTTTTCAGGCCCATTCTTCTCTCTGTCTGGCACCCTCATCCTGCCTGAGAGCAAGCTTGTTGCTGTCCCACAGCTCATTTTCTGGCATTATTTCTTTGTTTCCCTATTGCATACTCTTAAGAGACATGTATGTCGTCCTTTGCTCCCCCCCACACTTGCTCACATCTACTGTTGAACAGATTTTTATATGAATTTTTTTTCAGTTATTGTACTTTTCAACTCTAGAGTTTCTATTTGATTCCTTTTTATAACATTTATCACTGTGTTCATATACTTTATTGGGTGAAATGTGATTTTCATGTTTTATTTTGGTCCTTAGACATCATTTTTCGCTGGGACTTTGACCAGATTTAAAATAGCTGATTTGAAGTCATTGTCTGGTTAGTCCAGTATCTGTTTCCTCAGGAGTTATTCCTATTTATTGCACTTTTCCCCTTCCACATGGATCTTACTTTCTTTTTAATTTTTATCTTTTGTAATTTCTTTGTTGAAAACTGGATATTTTAAATAAAACACTGTGGCAACTGTAGAAATCAAGAATTTCTCCCCTCCACAGGAGTGAGGGATGAAATTTATTTATTCAGTGACTTTAACAACTAGTTCTGAAGAGCCTGAGTTTTTGTTGTGAGTGGCAGGCAGCTGAAGTCTCTGCAGAAATTTCTTTAATTCCTGAAATCAGTATTTCTTCCTGGTTTTGCCAAAGGGTTCTGCTCCTTTAGGAGCATCAGGCCATTTCCACCTCTGCACCAGCCTTCATGCTCTGCTTACTGTAGACTTCCCGGCCATGCAGAGGCGGTAGCCTCAGGCCTTCTCCTGTCTGTCCTAAACGTGCTCACAACCCCGACCCGCTGCTCAGCTCTATGTTGGCAGCCTTCTAGAGTCTCAGGAATATAAGGGAACTTTTTAAGAGTTTTGTGCACATGTCATTCTTCTTTTTTTCTTTTTTAGTTTTTTGAAAACGGAAACTGACATTCCCACTGTTTCTCATCATTCCAGGGCACTGCTAAGTTAAACAATTGCCTTTACCTGCTTTTGACTAAGGCCTTTGAGGATAAGGCTTTTTTTACTAGCTGAGCTTTGCAAGTGTGTTCTGCTGGGAACTATCAGACAGGTCAAATGATGAGTGAGTGTCTGGGAGTGAGGCTTTGAACGTGAACCCAGATCTGCCTCCTCCTAGTTGCCAAACTGCTATTTTTCACTGTATTTCAGACCATTGGTTCTCAGTTGAAGCTACTGCAGAATCGAGGGGAAAGAGATGGAGATGGACAAGTTAAAATGTCCCAAGATCACAGTTCTTAATATGATGCTGCTGTTTTTCTTTTATAACAAGCTCTTCAGATTGCTGTGAATCTTGGATTAGCTTACAGAGGTCTGAAAAAGTTGATTCTTCACTTTTTACTAGATTTTTATTGCTTCTGTGAAGAAAGAATATTCTTGGATCTTTACTATTTCACTCTTAACACTTGTTAGCTTGAATTTGAAGGTATTTTTTCTGGGGAATTTCCCTTTTCTTGGCTTCTAATATACCCTCTCCTAATTCTGTTATTAGTTTGCAGAAACTCTTCTGGCTTTGTGACCTGTACATTTTCTACCAGCCTTTTTAATAACCCTGGTTCTTCAGCTGTTATTTTTGTATTTTTTATTCCTTAATCCCTATGTGCTCTGGGAACTGTCTGATGATAGCACTTAAATTGTTAATAACTCCAAAAATGCCATCTTCAAGTTAGCTATCTGTTCTCTGCCCTAAAATCAAGTGCATACTTATTTAAGAGACCTTTCTGTCTTTATGTTCTATGGACCCTTAGTAGCTGCATGAACAGATCCATTTCACTACAACTTCTAATGCATTTTTTACTTTTGTTTCTCCAATACCAAGTTTTTTGCACCACCGTATCAATTTTTGGCACTATTTTAAAAAATAAAATAAAATAAAAAATTTTAAAAGCTGGTTAAGCATCTGGACTGGGTAGCTACATGAGAAGGTTGTTAACCACATGGTGATTTTTTTCCTCCTGTGTGATCTATCCCTATTATTACATTTGTTGCTGTTATTTTAGTATAGGTAGTGTTCCAACTCTGGTTCCAACTCCTTTGTAAACTGTTCTTTGCTCTTCGGGTGCTCTAGATTTGTACACCTTTCTACATGAGTTCTGTCAGGTGAAAGATCTACAGAGCATATATGGATCTCTTTGTTGGCTTCCATTAGTTATATGATGCTGTCCAAGGAGTATGTGAGCATCCTAGAGAATACCTAGGGTGACCCATTGGGATGTGAATGAGTAATTGTAGAATGTCTATCTACATTGGCTTTTTTTTTTGGTCATTTACGTATATAAATGAATTACAGTACACTAAAAGCTTATCTAACTAATTGAGCAACACCAAAGTTTAAAACAAAATTAGGTCCAGGGTAGGCCTTTTGTAAAACCATTCAGTTTTAAGCTCCAGAACAGATATAAAAAGTAGTTCTCAAAGACATTTTTTTTTTCTGTTACCTAATTCTGAGCCCTTGAACAAAATGTTTGACACAGGGATCAGTGTCATTCGAGGATGTGACTGTGGAACTCACCCAGGAGGAGTGGCGGCACATGGGCCCTGCACAGAGGACTCTGTACAGAGAGGTGATGCTGGAGAACTACAGCCACCTGGTCTCCGTGGGTGAGCAGACTTGACCATGTAACTCCCTCTAGAATATATTTCCTTTTTGTTTTCTAATTATCAAAACACGTGGACTCTTTATCGAGATGAACATTGGTAATCAAGCTTTGGATTAAGAGGTCTAAAGTAATTGAAACCTGTAACAAAACAGAAATAGTACACTTCAGTTGAGCACATTTACTTGAGCACCTTTACTTGCCTGTTTTTTTTTTTTAATCCCATTTTTGCAAACTCAAAAGACTGAGGATCTGGTACATAAGCACCCTCAATTATTCTATTTATAGGATATTGCGTTTCCAAGCCCAAGGTGATATTCAAATTGGAGCAAGGAGAAGAACCGTGGTCTTTAGAGGACAGATTCCTAAGCCACAAGTACCCAGGTGAGTGAGCACTATCAGAGAACTGGGGTCCTTAAGCCTGGCGTGGGATACTAATCCAGCTGTCTGTCGCTGTAAAAAATGTCTCAGAAAAATAACTTATAAAGAGAAGACTGTAAACAAATGACATAAAGGTTGGCCTAATTTAGATAGAGCATAAAAGAATGGTTGTTAAGTCAATAAGAATAAAATAATGTAGGTTTCATCTCCTGTTGTTATTCAGATTTGGCTTTAGCAAGTTAAAGTACATTGGATTGGGATTAGGTATTTAGCTCAGTGACAGACCCTTGCCTAGCACTTGCAAGGCTGTGAGTTTGGTCATTGGCCTTGAAAAAGAAAGGAAGCCCCTCTTGCTCAAAACATGGGTTAAAAAAAGTTTTAAGCATCTGAATGATTATACCAAATAAAATAATATCAGTATTCGAAAAATCACCAAATAGTGGAGTCCTAAGAAACTAAAACTCATTAGAATTAGGACATCATAATATATGTCATCTGATTAAACAGTAGTACTACTGTAGGAGATATAAATAGCATTGTACTCAAGTGAACCATAAATTTATGGATGCTGAATGCAAAGATTATTCCCATGAAATAATCATAAGAAAATTAAAATGTAATATTATTCTAACTAATTAGAATCACCACAAATATTCTCTGAACATAGTGTGATAAATCTAGAAATTAATAAAATGAATAAACAAAAGTGCTACACAAAAACTAAAAAAAAAATTATCTTTATTAATCAATGTATATAAAAGGAAATCCAAAGTTGCATACTTTTGAATAAATGTAGTTGTATATTAGGAACCTTCAACTATAGCTAAATTAGTTAACAGGAGTAAGTTTGTAGTGTCATTAATAAATTAAGCAAAAAGAGTAACAAAAATACACTAATGAAAGTAGAAGAATTTAAAAGTAAAATCAGAAATTAATAAACTATAAAACCAAGGAATGGACAATTTCTTAGAATAAAAAACAACAGAATGGGTCAAACTTTAGGTAACCCTAATAAAGATAAAGAGAAGAAATACCTACATGATAAACTCAAGTGGGGATTATATATGTATAAATTTAATGCCATACCAGACAAGATCCCATCCATAAAGAAGAATGATACAGGAGGGTTTGGTCTACCAGATATCGAGACTTAGGCAAAGCTCTGAGTAGTGGAGTACTTGGGTCAGGAGTTAGATGGTCTAATAAATTTGAGAAACAGGGTGGAAAGCTCAAGCAAACACGTCCTTTAAGACAGTTGGTCTCAGGTGGCACTCTAGGACATTGGGGATAGGATCTTGAAGTAACTTAAAAGTAACACAGAAAAATGGATCCAAATGACTTAAATAGCTGGTTATCAAAGTAAATTAGAAATACCCTACAAGACTATACAATAGGTTCATGACTCTTCTTAGGAAAGGATTGAGGAAAAGTAGAGTAAGCATTTTCCTTCCTACTGTACTCCGAGTTCAGACGTATGTATTTATGTGAACACACTTACACACACACATACACACACACACACACACACACACACACACACACACACACACACAGAAGTCCTGCAAAGTGGAGAGAAGCATGAAGAACTAGGGGCCGTGGCACCTGATGAAATGGACGACAGTTAGTGTCAGCAGATGCCTGTGGGTTGCCTGATCTCCCACCTCTGCCTGGTGTTAATGTGGAGGCTGTCTCCTAACCCAGGGTGCCAGTGGAGATCAGCCAGGAGTCTGGACGTCTGTTCCCACTTGGCAGGTAATGATGTTGCCACCTGTTTCTCCTGTTGGTATGGTTTCTAAAGTGGCTGGCTAAAACTCAGCATTAATCTTGATAAGGTCCAATTATTAATTTATCTCATGGATCATGGTTTGTTTTTTCTGTCTATAACCTTCAGAACTTAAAAGTAACACAGATTTATTCTTGTTCTCTTTTAGAAATTTTAAAGTTTAACTTTCTACACTTAGCTTATGATCCATTGTATATTAACTTTCATAGAAAATATGAGCTGTATGTCACGTTTTAAACTTTTAAAATAGGGAGTCCAGTTATTCTAGTTCTACTTATTGAAAAGGCTGTTTTTCCATCAAATTGTGTCTTTGCATTACTTATAAATAAAAGTGGGCTGGGGATGTAGCTCAGTTGGTAGAGTGCTTGCCTTGCGTGCACAAGGCCCTGGTTCAATCCCCAGCACCACAAGAAAACAAACAGAAATATTAGTGAATGCATACTTGTGAGTGTGTTTCTGGAGTCTTTTTTCTATTTTATTCATCTACATGTCTGTCCTATGCCAGCATTGTATTATCTTGATTACTGTATAGAAGACCAGAGAAGCATTCAGTGGTAGAGTGTTTGCCTACCCTGGCTTAGACCCCAAGCACCACACACACACGAAGAAGTTTTTGAAATCAGGTAGTTTTCTAACTTTCATCTTCTCTATGAATTTAAAATGATCTCCTTTCCTTATTAAAAGAAAAAGAGAGAAAGGAAGACAAGCATGCTGGCATTTCAACTGGAATTGTGTTGAATCTCTATGTTTACTTGAAAAGAATTACCAATGTCTCTCCTCATTTATTTAGGATTTCCTTCGTCAGTGTTTTGTAGCTTTCACGTTATCAATATCAAGATTTTAAAAAAATATCTTTGATGACATGGTAAATAATATTGTGCTGTAATTTCAAATTCCAACCCATTAATTATTGTTTGTTTATAGGCATAAGATTGTATACAGGCCTTGTATTTTGGTTTTGCCAAAATGCTTATTAGTTCAAAGAACTTGTTTGTAGATTATTTTCTTGTGTAGATTTTTTTTAATAGAGCTACTCCACATCTTTTTGTTTTTATTCTTGTCATATTTCACTAGCTGATAATTCTAGTACAGTCTTGAGTAAAAGTGGTGAGTATGGATGCCACTCTTATTTTTCCCAATTTTAGAAATCATTCAATCTCTTACTCTCATCCTGATGTTATAGACTTTTTGTTTATTTCCTTTATTTATGTATCATGCTACATATATGTATTATGTCATTTATTACATATGTGTATATATAGTGTGATATTTAAACTGCATATTATATATATATATATATACTGCATTTGTGTGTGTATAATTATTTAGATTAGGTTATCTTTCTTCTTAAGTGAATTTAGAAGTTTGTTTTTTTCTAAGGAATTTGCCTATTATTTATGTGAATTGTCTGTGGGCATAGAGTTTGCAGTGGACTGAATATTTGTTCCCTTTCCTCCAATTATATGTTGAAACTCTGATCCTGATGTGCTCCATTTAGAGGTGCAACTTTTGGAAGGTAGTTAAGTCATGCAGGTGGAGCTTCCATGAAGAGTTTAGAGTGCTCTTACAGGAAAAGTCCAGGCAACTAGTACCTCTTTGCACCGTGTGAATAAATAACAGGAAGTCAGCGGTCTGGTGCACAAGAGGACTGATAGAACACGACCAGGCTAGCACTCTTTTTGGACTTCCAGCTTCCAGAACTGTGATAAATATTTGTTGTTTAAGTCACAGAGTTTATGGTGATTCGTAATGTCAACCTGAACTAATATAAGACTTTTTGCTAACCTTCCTTTATGATCTCTTCAGTGTCTGTTGTGTCAGTAAGCACACCCACCTCTTGTTTTTCTGATGTTGATAATTTGTATCTTTTGATTTTCCTATTAATTTAATTTTAATCAAAACTTTAAAATCTTTTCAAAGAACTAAGTTTGGTTTGATTAACCTTCTGTGTTGTTTTCCGTTTTCAATTGCAATATCTTCTCTAATCTTTGCTATTTTCTTCCTTCTTTGTTCTTTGGATTTAATTTCCTCTTTTTATTTAGTTTCTTAGAGGAGATGCTTAGGTAACTGACTGTAGATCTTTCTTTTCTAATGTGAAACATTTTAAGCCATGAGTTTACTTCTGAGCACTGCTTTAGCTGCAGCCCACAAATTCCTATGTTTTGTTTGTGTTTCTATTCACTTCAGAATATGTTTTCTGTAAGCTTCCACTTTCACTCCTGAGTTATTCAAAAGTACCTAGTTTACAAATATTTTTATTTCTCTGTATACCTTTGTTTACTGATTCCTAGTATAACTTCTCTGGAGGTTGAAATCATCCTTGGTATAATTTCTGTTCTTTTATATTTGTGAAGGTTTGTCTTTTATCCTAGGATGTTTCATGTCATTTGAGAACAATGTGAATCCAGCTGTTATTGAACGTATTGTGTCATCAGGTCTTGAAGGTGTGGCAACCTCATCTTCCTACCTGTGGGGTCACGCCACGTGTTGTTTCTGTGCTTTAAGTTTTCTTTGTTCTTTCTTTCCTCTGTCTTTTGTGAATTGCCACTGGTGCCCTAAAACAAAATATTTGTTGTTCTTGAGATTCTTTGTTTTATGAATTAGTAAGAATATGGCTGCAGGTGGGGTTTGTCAGTGGCTGCTGTCACCATCTCCCAGCATATTCCCAAAATGGAACTTTCTTTGTATCCTTCATCATCTTTCCTATGAACTCTTCATGTGGCTCATGAAGGGAAATACAAAACTGCCTGTCTTCCGTATCTCTGGCCCTGGAAGATCCGCTTCCTGCTCAGCCTCTGTGGAACGGTAGGAGTGTTTCAGTTTTGTTTGGTTGAGTAGGTGGAGTTTGTCAAAAAAAGTTTCTATTTCATTAGACCTTTTGAGACCATTGACTAGAATGAATAGACTTTTCCTAGCGCATATTTTTGTCTGTATCTTTGTTATCTTCATATCATTGGCTTCTTCAGTGTACAGTATAGTACATCTAGGAAGTAGGAAAAAAAGCCTTGGAATTCTCCATTGTGTCATTTTCTTAAGTTCTGAGGTCCACTTTCTTTACATTTTTTGAAGCATTTTCACATGTTGTTACTTTTCTTTTGCTCTGGATTTTCAGTGTCAGAAGGAAGAACCTTGGAGGAATGGTGCTATTCTGTTTTGGCTCTCACTGAAAGTAATCCGTGCTTTAAAAAAAACCCAACATCCATAGATGAGGGAGGAGAATGGCTGTCTCTGTGTGTGTGAATTGATCTTGGATACAGGACCAGAAACAACAGAATAAAATATGTAACAAAAAATGGCTAAAGTTCCTTTACATAAGAAATGTAAGATTTATGTTTCCAATTTTTCTCATTTTAGGTTATTACAAAGTAGACGTCCACATCAAGGGAAATCAAGACAAACAAGGGAAGCCTCTGTGGCAAGTAATATTCATTGGTGATAAAACACTGAGTAAAGAAGGACAGAAAGTTCTAGAAAAACCATTTAATTTGGGCATAGCTTCAGGTTTTTCAGGAAAAATAACCTATAAACATGATTCAAGTCAAATGAATTTTCCAGTTATTTCTGAGTTAATTATTAGTGAAGGAGAGTATTCAAGAGAAAAGGCTGATTACATGACTGTATGTGAAAAGTTGCAGCTTGCTATTAAACACAGGGACACTCATACTGGAGAGAAATCTCATGAATATAATGAAAATGTGAAAACTGTTAGTGTTAAGAAAGATCAGCATCGGAGATTTCAAACATTGGAGCAGTTGTTTGAATGCAGTGAGTTTGGGAAAATTTTGTATGAAAAAACTGTCTGCCTTACAGTCGAGAGTTCTCCAACAGCAGAGCAGTGCTGTCAGGATGTTGAGCTTGGGGAAAACTGTGACAGGACAGCTCTGTTTAGCCACACGAGAGCTGACCCAAGGGAGAAGTGCTCTGATGTTAGCGACTGTGGGGAATTCTGCTGCGAATCCACCATGGAGGAGTACAGTAAAGTTCACCTGGCTGTAACACACCAGGAATGTGATAAAAATGGTATTCATGTCTGTGGGAAGTTACCCCTAATTCAAGCTCAGAGACCTGTTACAGGACAAAGTGCTCTTGAAAGCAATCCCTGTGAAGAAAACTTGAGCCAGAGTCCAGCCCACAGAGTACATCAGGAGAAGCCAATTGGAGATAACGTCTGTGAATGTCCTGGGTGTACTAAAACCTTCTTCCGGAAATTAGGCCTTATCACACATCAGCAAACTCAAGAGAAACCCCGCCAGTCAGGTCTGTACGGGAAACGCAGGGAATCCTTTTACCAGAAAGCACACCCCATTCAGCATCAGAGGACCCACTCAGGGGAGAACCCTTACAAAGGTGAGGAATGTGGGACATTCTTCTGTTCACATTCACACCCTCGTCAGCATCCTGGAACTCCTATGGCGTCCAGACTCTGTGAATGCAATAAATGTGGGAACAGTTTCTGTGAGAAGTCAAACCTCAGTGAACACCCGAGGCTTCACACAAAGGAGAAACCTTGTGGTAACCACCACTGCAGGAAATGTCACCCACCACCCCCCAGGGGACAGCAGAGAACAGACACAGAGATGAAGATCTGCCACAGCCGTGAGTATGCGGAAACCTCCGTGATGAGACATCTCCAGGAATATCAGAAAGTCCACCCGGGTGGGAAACCCTGTGAACGTGCTGCCTGTGGGAAGACGTTCTCCAAGACGTCACATCTGACAGCACATCAGAGCACTCACCGGGGCGAGAGACCCTACGAGTGCGTAGAATGTGGGAAGACTTTCTCTCACAAGACACATCTCAGTGCACATCAGAGAACTCACACTGGGGAAAGGCCCTACGAGTGCAGCCAGTGTGGGAAAGCCTTTGCTGACACTTCGACCCTCAGGGCGCATCAGAGAATCCACACAGGCGAGAAGCCCTACGCGTGCCGTGAGTGCGGGAGATCTTTTGCCCATGCTTCTGTTCTCAGAGCCCATGAGAGAATCCACACAGGGGAGAAGCCCTACGGCTGCCATGAGTGTGGCAGATCCTTTACCTATAACTCGGCCTTCAGAGCCCACCAGAGGGTTCACACGGGGGAGAAGCCCTACGGGTGTCATGACTGTGAGAAAACCTTTGCCCACCATTCAGCCCTCAGAGTGCACCAGAGGACTCACACCGGGGAGAAGCCCTACGAGTGCAGCGACTGTGAGAAGACGTTTGCCCACCATTCAGCCCTCAGAGCTCATCAGAAAACCCACACAGGGGAGAAACTCCACGAATGCCATGAGTGCGGGAAAACCTTTTCCCAGAAAACACACCTCAGCACACATCGCAGGGTCCACACAGGGGAGAAGCCCTACGAGTGCCGCGAATGTGGAAAGGCTTTCTCCCAGAAATCGTACCTCAGTGGACACCAGAGGACCCACACGGGGGAGAAGCCCTATGGGTGTAACACATGCGGGAAGCGTTTTGTCTACAAGGCGGCCCTCGTCGTGCACCAGAGAATTCACAGAGGGGAGAAGCCCTACGAGTGCCGCGAATGTGGGAAAGCCTTCTCCCAGAGGACACACCTCTGCGCCCACCAGAGAACGCACACGGGGGAGAAGCCCTACGGGTGCCGTCAGTGCGGGAAAACGTTTGCTGATCGCTCAGCCCTCCGAGCGCATCACAGGACTCACACCRGGGAGAAGCCCTACGGGTGTACTGAGTGTGGGAAGGCTTTCTCCAAGACGTCACACCTCAGGGCACACCTGAGGACGCGCCTGGGGGAGAAGCCCTACGAGTGTGGCCAGTGTGGGAAAAGCTTTTCCGAGAAGTCGTACGCCAATGCCCACCAGAGGGTGCACACGGGGGAGAAGCCCTACGAGTGCAGCGAATGTGGGAAGGCCTTTGCCCAGCACTCAACTCTCAGGGTGCACCAGAGGGTTCACACCGGTGCGAGACCCTATGAGTGTGGCGAGTGTGGGAAAGCGTTCTCCCAGAAATCGCACCTTGGTGCCCACCAGAGAATTCACACGGGGGAGAAGCCCTACGAGTGCAGCGAATGTGGGAAGGCTTTTGCCCAGMAYTCAACTCTCAGGGTGCACCAGAGGATCCACACAGGGGACAGACCCTATGARTGTGATGAATGTGGAAAAACTTTTGTCCGTAAGGCAGCTCTTAGGGTCCATCACACCAGGATGCACAGCAGAGCAAAAGCCCCAGTGCGGAATGAGTCTGGAAAGCCCTCGGGGGACTCCCGCCTTACTGCGTGACGCTCGCACGGTAAGGTGTAGCTCGGTGAGATTTCCCTGTGGTGTTGGTCCAGGCGGGGCTGGCCAGGGAATGTGACACCAGATATCACACTGAAGCCCAGTCCYGAAGAATCGCCTTGCACTCTCCCTGGTCCACGGTCAGTGGGGTGGAGACGACTGCCACAGCAAACCCGAGTGCCGCCTTGGGACGTGGCAGACAGGGAAAGGACACAAGAGTGCCCGGGACCACGCTCCACTTCCAGGCCTTCAGTACTTGACTTTTCTTTTTTTTTAAACAAGTGTTATGTTAGGCCCTTACAGGTTTGGTGTGTTGTTGAATGCACATCGTTGGGCCTACTCCCTCGTTAGCGTGGAGTGAGACCCTGTGAGCATATTAAATATCAGAAGACCTCTACAAACTCAACTTACTGCAGATCAGAGCCACCTCAGGACAGTACTGTCATCAACATTCTAATAACCAGAAGCCTTTATTAAGAGAGAAATCTCAGGGGGAAAAAAAGCCTTTACCACAAAGAGAACTGCATTAAACATCAAATAACTTGGTTAAAATTTTATATTTTGAGTAAATAGCATTTTCCAACAAATATTGAAAGTTTGTCTTCAGATAACTTATTCTGAGGAAATGCATGAGTTTCAGAACTGAGGTTAACATCCTGACCTAGAACCGAGACATCAAAACCTGCGTTTTTTGTGTAATATTAAAAATTTTATAGAAAATATATAAGATAGTATTTACCTGTAGTCTAAGTCACTGTAGACTGTCGAGTTTTGAAAGTGTAAGGATAACTTGAATTCTGTGGACAGTACCAATGAATGTTGGAATTGTCTCTGAGCTATGGGAACACCCCTGAGTCGACAKGCAAACAGACGATTCATCAGTGCTGGTGAGTTCTGGTAGGAGCCAGCCACACTGGCTCTGCGCATGGCCACTTCCATTGTCAGAGTGACTGTCTGTTCTTCTCTTGGTTTCCTTAAACTTGGTGCTTTTGATTTTTGGCCTTCCTGCTAATCTGGCCCTGCATTGCTAAGGCCCGTGACATTCTTGGGCATTTTTCTATGTATTTGTCTRTCTAGCATTGTGTATGTGTAGGTGGTGGCAGTACTTGTGTTGTTGTTACTCTTTTGAGTGATTTTAAGACAAATATCCTTAGCCCTCTTGTGCACATATAACCTGAGTATCCTCTTAATTTAATTTTTAATCATAACRGCTGCTCACACTGTACACTTCTGTAAATCAGAGCTATTTTGGACCAGCTAGGACAGCACGTTTTGGAATTGCAATGGAAAGGGCTACTTCATGCCAGAAGCACAGCACTGGTACYGAGCAGCAGACTCATTTGGGGGAAAATATGTAATGTAATGTAGTCTTGGCCAATAAAACATTTGGTTAATCTGTGATATTTCAGGCTTAGGGTTTGTTTAGCATGAAGAAGAAAGTGGAATCATTTTGAAAACCTGGAAAAATAAAAAAAAAATTCTCTTAACCCTGGGCAAGTTTCTTTTTGTAAGTTTGATCAGGTAGATTGAGCATGAGGACAGTAAGTCAGTTTCTCTTGGAAAAATTTCTCTAGTCCTTATTGCTTGTTTATGTTGGGTAAAGGGATAGTGTGAGGTAAAATGATGGTATACCTTTAACCTCGATTGGAAATAGGTATTTCTTTGATACTGGCTTGTTTTCAGTTAATTCAGTGGCATCACTGCCAAAGACCAGAGGCAGGAATAAAAGCCCACCATTGGATGAGACTTGTGTCATGGTACCGTCACTGGTGGCCTACATCATTAACCCTGGCAGGAGGTGCCAGCAGCTGAGGGGATAGTTTTGTTCTTCCTTAGTCTCTGACACCTGGCTGCAACTTGTGCTTACTGAACAGTGCCAAGAAGGAAATGGGAGCCAAAAAGCATCTCTTTCTACATGTTTGATTTTTCAGAAAAGCACAGACRAAAAGAAAATTGTCCCAGAGCCCTTTTTAAAATACATTTTGGAATAGCTTAGATGTACAGAATATCTAGTTATAGCCCAGATATGCTCCTCATCCAGTTTCCCCTGTTAACATCACATATTACTGTGGTATGTTTGTATAATAAAGTCACACCGATACATTTATATTAAGTAMACTTTTTTTCAGCTTTTCACTATTTTTCCCCTAATACCATTTCTATCCCCCGATCCCTTCCACGATGCCATCCTGTATTTAACTGTTGTGTCTCTGATCTCTACTGCTCTGGGACAATTTCTCTGACCTCTCATATATTTTTGATTACCTTGGCAGTTTTTAAGGAGTGCTTGCCAGGTATTTTGTAGAATATCCCTCAATTTGGGTCTGAGATTTTCTTGTCATGGTTATACTGGTGTCAGCAGGATTTTGGTAAGAAGCCCACAGAGGTAAATGTCATTCTCAGCAGGACCATATGCTGTCAACATGAAGGGTCACGGTGCTAACCAACCTTGACCACCTGTTTGAGGTAGCGTGTGCCCAGTTTTTCTGTGTAAAGTTATCTTTTCCTTGCACTTAAAAGGTGTTGCTCACACAACAAGCTACTGTGTCTGCAAATGGGAGGTTGTGTATATAAGCAGTTGTATCCACTTTACAAATGGGTTGTGTGATATGACACTCATTCACTGACTATTTGGAATTCTCTGATGGCCATGGAAGTGGTGTTGCACAAAGAGCCTAACCTCATAGAAGCCTATTTTGCCCATTTTGTTCCTTATTATCAGTACATAGCACTGATAACCTGGCATCTAACCCTTCTCTTCACGGAGAAATGCAGCACTGGGTTAGGACTTCTGGAATCTGAGCATGGAACACTGGAATGTGAAGGATCCCTAGCAGGTCCATCCCCACAGGATAGTGGGCTCTTGGGCTTAGGACTCCACCAGTTGAAAACCTCTGGCAAAGCCTGTTTAGTACAATAAGGGACAGCTAGAAACCATATTAAGAGCTAGAGATGATATGGGTGCCTAAAGAAGGTAAGGATCACCAGGGCTACTTCTCAGGCCCAGACAGTACCCTCATCACTTCCTTAATGCCCCCCACAGGAGCTCCCCAAAGAAGCACATCAACTTCCCTTTCTGCTGCTGCTCTTGGCTCTGTCTTTTGACTTGAGTTCACCAACCAGAAAAAATCCCCCGCTTTAGCTCTCAGAAAGGATTTGTAAGCAAGCACCGTACTTGCTGCTTGGTATAAATACTTATAAATTGTTAGTCTAACAAATTTTCTGTAAAATAAGACCATATCCCTCTTACAAGTGTCTGATTTTAATTTTGGAAACAATATTAATGCTGATAGCTTAAAAATTGTAGCACCCAAAATTTAGAAATTGCCTCAAGCTGACCCATTTTATTATCCATAGTTTTGCTTTTTGGTGTTTATTGGAATATGAATGAATCCTTGCCTTTGTCTTTGCTCCCTGGGATTTATTTTATCTAGATAATTTTACTTAGTATTTTTGCTTTGTGAGAGGAAGACCCTCTTCCTCTATACCTCTTAATCCTTGTGCTCTTTGAGCAATGAAAGAATGTTTGCATTTTCTGAGCCAATCAACTGAGAGGATTATCATAACTCAATAACAGGAGATGTATGTAATATGATCAACTATGATAATCAACAAATCTGTGACCATGGTAGAAGTACGTCAGACATGAAAGAAAGATGGGTATCAGAAGCCAAATGCCTGTATAGGGATTTTCAAAATCCAATGAGTTTTATGTACTGATAAAAGCATTTAAAAGAAATATGATAGCACTAGACAGAATGTCAAATTTAGACTATATAGGCATAGGCAAATGATCGTCATGAAATATAAGGATAGAAGAGAAAATTCCCCCCCCCAAAAAAAAAAGTTTGATGACTATGGAAGAATTTAGAGATGTGAAAGAGATACTAGTAAAGCAAGAACACATGGACGCACATACTGCACACACAGAATGCACATCATTGTTAACAAAAATGTAGACCAAAGTTTAATATAAACCCTTAGAAAAGCAACATCTCCATGGGAGAGAACTATTCTGATGGGAGTACATGTGAGAAACTGTTGATTTAGCATATGCTCTCAAAACAGGAGGCACATAGATACTATAGAAGATAATAAATCATCAGTAAGGGTAGAATATAGTTACACCTTTATTAAAATTAACTGGGACAAGACTTTACTGCTAGGCTATTCTGAAAACCAGAGGTCACTGGGGACCAAAGTGCAGGTGGACCCAAGAGAAATAGAAACCAAGAAGCACACAGAAGGCTATTAACTGAGAAAATAAGGGAAGGAGAAAAGACAACTGAATATGAAAAGTAACAAAATAATATGTGCCTTACGGACGGATAACTCAGGAGAGAGAAATAGGCTGCATGTTGAAAAACGGCCACAGGCCCAAAGCTACAGAACGCCATGTTACAAAAGAAGGTGGTGCACTGTCTCAGCCCAGTTAATCCAGGGTCAGTTGCTAAAGAAGGCTCACAGGACCCAAGATGACATGCTCACAAATCTACAATCTATTAGGGGAAGAAGGTACGGTACAACAACACCATTAAAGTATTTGCATCACGGCCAAAAGCTGCCTCAAAGCAAGAGGTCTGAATAGAGTGTGAGCTCCAATTTTCCTTCTGTAAGACAGAATTCCACTCTTAGATGAGGAATCAGTGTGCACAGAACACTTCAGAAACCCCACAGATGGATTTTCTGTTGGAGTTTCTTATGCCTTTTTGGATACAAAGGCACATTCTTGGAATATAACCAGCCTTAAACACAGAGGACTTTGAAGGTTTCAATGAGATAAAGATGTAAGTAATCAATCTCACTGTTACCAGCAAACACTAATGATAGGTTGTTAAAATCTTYCCCCAAACCTCTTGGAATCTTACTTACAGAGCAGCAGCCCCCCCCCAACCCCCGCTACACACACATATTACACTTTGTAAACCTAGTAACCTGCACCTAATGGTGTGGCATCTTTCTCTACAGAGGTTCTATTCTGTCCTTTGGATTGCATAATTCCT